ATGCTTCTTAGTTGTAATATTCAAAACTATTAGAAAGTCTATATTTTAAAAATACTGAAATGGTAGTGAAAGAATCACCCTTTTTTCTTTTCTTTTTTTTTAATGCTTATGACATCAAGACAGTCTTGTTTAATGTAGTCAAGTAATTGTAAATATGTCATATTACAGCATACATTCTTGCTATAAAAGAGGGAGTGGGCCTTAACAATGTTGTAAGCAGTGGAAAGAAATCTGCCATTGTGCTGTCATTATTAGATGATTTGTATAAAAAAAAAAAAAAAAGATTGTATGTTAGATATATAAGCATCAAATACATTAGTCATGGAAATATTTTAAAGTATAATATTTAACTAAGTTTTAATGATCCTAACTTAAATTTCAACCTCTTTTTTTATTTTAAAATAAATGAGGATTTTAGAAAGTAATAGAATTTATGCTTTTGTCAACAACTGAAAAATCTTCAGCACTTAAAAGTTAAACATCTGAAAGGATTTTTGATAGATTCTTTTTCAAGATAATTTCACTATAGGCATGAAACGTTTCTACAATTTTATTAGTAAAAATACACAATTGTAACAGAACTTGTCAATCTTGCTCAATGGTAACCAATAATGTCACCCACTAGTCAATCCTTGTCAATGGCTGCCAGATATGTAGCCCTATGCCTCATGTTAGTCCTGAAGTTCCTTCAGACAACCATGCTTACCATCTAGCTGACTCTTCACTCATTAATGCATGACTCGTTTGTTGCTGATATCATGATTCTATGCATGGTTACAATCAACTTAGCTGCTGTTTGTTTGTTCATGACCATTTACTTCTGTCACATTGTATTTTTTTGATCTCAGAGGGTGAGAAGATTGCTGATGAAGCAAACTGAAGTGAAGGCAGTTCAACAAAAATCCTTTGGAATAAAGAATTAGCTCTAGTTAAAAATCTAACAACAATTTGGTTTATATATATTACTTGTATAGGTCTTGGTCAGGAGGTATCAGTGAACGCTGTGGATTCCAGTAGCAGTAGTGTGGGGACTCTCTACAAATTGTCCAAAAAAGGACAGAAAATAATTCCCATTCATCCTAGCGATAAAAAACAATTTATCTTTCTTCTGTTTATGCATTTTTGTGATCAACAGACCACACAGCCTTTTTGTTCATGGTCACTCCAAAATAGTAATTAATTTTTCCCTTATCACTTGTATCTAAAGGAATCTGAATTAAAGTTTGGATAAATAAAAAACATTTTCTGGACAAATGTCACAGAAATTATAATGACGAATGTGCCAAGCTGGTCTTTATCTCTGTGGGGACACTTCTCTTTTGGGTGACTGAATCAAATCCAAATGTTTCTTTTTCTGGCTTTTTCATTCAGAACAGTCTTTAAATGTTATTTTGGTGACCATCCTGGTCTCTTTATTGACAACACATTTTTATTTTATCCAGCATCTTCACAGATACCTTAATGGTCTCATTCTCATCAGTGGGAAGTGGGGAAGGACAGGTAGTCTTGGCATTGCTCAATCTTACTAAATTCCATCTAGTTAAATCGCCTTGGAATTATTTTAAAACCTGATTTGTCAACACATTTTGTTCTTAATTTTCTTAACTTTTCAATCCATCTTCCTGTGAATTTTAACATTTAACATCCAGTTAGTAGACGCTTTCCTCTTTCTTTCTTCCTTCCTTTCTCTTTTTGTTTGATCAATCTCTGGAGATATCTGTGTCACAATTAGTAGATTTCTAAGTTTTTAGTTTTACTTTTCAGCTGTTAGTGTCCTGTTGTTCTTGCTCCAATAAAATTATAAATTTAGTTACTGGTGCATAATTACAGTGCAGCATGTTCTCATTTGTCATTGATTGGATAGTTTCAGCTGTTAACCTCAAATATATATTTGACAAGTTTATTTCTAACTCTAAATTTCTACCAATTTAATGTCTAACTTGGTCTTCAGGATTCTTCATGTTTTGAAGATTTCATTTTAATGAGCATGTATACCATTTTGCTTTTTAAATGCAATTTAATTTAAAACGGTATGGGATTCAAATCTTAGGGTTAATGATTTAATAATTTTGTAAAAAAATTTTTTTTTTTTTTTTTTTTTTTTTTAAATGATCTTTATTTTCTTATAAACCAGATCCCATTGTTATAGTCAATGGTGAAATCTGTATGATAGGCACTTTAAAATTGTGAATAAACTTTTCCTTAATTGAATTCAGAATCTATAAATTTTAAATATTTCCTCAATGTTCAATTGTACTGAACTTTTGTGGATTAGAAAATCAAAAAGTTAATTCTGTATTTGTAAGAGGCTATTCACAGCATTTACAGTAAACTAACAATAAAAAAATCGCTTTTCTTATGTCCACTTGGATTTAAATAATGTAAACTGTTTTTATTAATGATTCTAGCATTGAATATAGACAAAAATAAATAATTTTTCTTTTATTAAGCAAGGCAAAAATGTAATACAAGTTTTGTTCAGTTCATGGAAAAGGTACATTGAATGAATGTTGCAAAAGTAGTTTGCAAAAGATTGTGCTAGACAGTTCTCCTTATCTAATATCCTATGATTGGATAAACCTGTTGAGACTGATAGGAATCAATGTTATTTGAGAATAATCAACATTTATCCGACGTAGGAGATTGTATTGTCGGCAGTACTCAAAAGATCCAAGTCAAATGTTGAAAATGATTTGCTCCAGTGTTGTTCACAGCTTTTATGTGTGGCATCTTTATAAACAATAACAAATATAAAGACTGTTTTTCTTTTTGAGTATTTAAGTTTTATGGATAGTTTACAACAATGTAGAATACAAGAGATTGTGAGGGTAAGCAAAATAGCTCCCCTCCCCACCAACTGTTTTAAAGGCCAGTCTTCAAAAGAGGGTAACGTTGCATATATAATTGGAAAGGTGTCTTCTATTATGAGCAATTTCTGGAGAAGCATATTGGCTAGAATTAAATTAAAAGAATGGACGTGAAATTCTACTGGGGGTAATGTCTGCCATCTTTTTTTTTTTTTTTTTTTTTTTTTTTTTTTAGTGAGTATTGTGTGAGAGAGCAGTGCAGTTTGGGGTTAAATATTCTGGTTTTTGCAAAATTGTCTTAATGAGAGAAAAAAAAACCAGAAAAAACGGGATTCCCTAAGAAATTGCAAAAAGAAAATTATTGAGAAAGCAATAAATTTTGTGAGATTGGAATTATAAAGTTGCCTGAAAAATGTTAGAATGTGTTTACAAAACGATAAGCATGTGTGGTCAAAAGAAATTAGCAAATGGTATATGCAACTTTTTAACCCTCCACTGGAGTGCTAAGTTGATACCCTTCAGTACAGTGTCCAGCTCTGCTAGGTTAATATGTGCGGTGACGTTTATTGGTCACAGCCAGCACTCATTTTCCGTCCTTCAACAAGACTCCAATTGCCAGTAAGCTTGCATCGACCCACACGTTCACTTCTTCTCCATGCACACACCAATCTTCTCTGGCAGGGTCATTCTTCTTTACTATAACTATGGTCTCCGTCACAATGTGAATAAGCAGAGGGTCAGTCATCTCATCATCCCAACCATTGGTGACTGTGCTTGCCCTGTGCTTCATGGTGCCTGCCGCCACACTGAGCCATCCATACACTGGTAGGTACCCCCACAAGCCTTCCACATAGGGAAGACTTGTGTGGTAACTACGTTTCCTGGGCAATCCTAAGCAATATGTCTGGCCTCATTGCATCGATAACAACACACATGCACTACGCTTTTTCTATCCATGCAATTTCTTACCACATGGCCCCAACCATTGCATTTATAGCAGATGATTCCAGTTAGCCTGAACCGGGAGAAGCTCTAACACTACTTTGGTGTGCTTGTGCGACCACAACAATGGGTTCTTCTAAAGCAGTAATCTTTCAGGATAGTTCTGGCCTGGTCCAATAATTAGTTGAACACTAGTGAGTCTACATAAGAGTTTGCCCATAAAAGTTGCTTTACTCCAACCAGAAGCCCTGCTAAGAATGCATATGCTAACATTCATTCAGGTAGTCCACCAAACAGAGTTGCCAACTTCTTCTTTGTGGCCAAATAAACATCCACAGTTTCACCTGATCGCAGAGTCCATGCCACAAATTGTTCATAGGCAATTCAGGGGTCAATAGCAAACACCTTTGGAGTACAGCTTTGGTTCTAGCTGGATCTTCCTTCTTATCCCTAAGCTGCTGATATACACTGCCAGTCAGTCGTAGAGGAATCACATGCTCAATGGCTTTCACTCCAGACAGGCGACAAATCAATTTGACTTTTTCTACTCATTTCACCACAGTAGTGCCACCGAACTCTGGGATGAGTTTTAAGTCAACTTTGTCTCCCATTTCGCCAAAATAGCTTGTGGTCAAAAGAAATCTATTGTGGGACACAGTTTCAGATTGGGCGTTTCTTCCCTCTACACCAGTTTCTTGGTATTTATCATTGTTCTTTGCCTTGTATCTGCTTCGTTCTATCACAACTGCATGTATCGTACAATGTACCCTGACAGAAATCATTTTCTTCTCCAAGATGGTCTGCTTATAATCATTAGTTGCCAGTCAGCTGCCTTGGTGATCAACATACTAGACATAGAGGCACCTCAGAATCAAGCACCAACACACCTGGATGCCTCTCTTCAATTCCATTCAACTCTGCTAATATTATATAAAGTTGTTAATGACCCAATTTCTTGTGGGACAACAAAAAAGGTCTTGTTTAACGGAACGATGCTCTTGCCCTCTCTCAAATTGAAGTCCTACATGCCAGACAGACAAACTCTCTTTTGTCAAGAATAAGGCAAGTCTTGTTCACCATTTTTGCCATTTGACTCCGGTTCTGGTTCACTATGTTTGCTACAGCATGTTGTTGAATAAACTTTAATGTTATATGCTGCTTTTATCAAATGATAAGATTTCTTAGTTTGATAAACATACATACACTTCATTTTTTGTTTTATTTTCATTATTAAAATATTGTTTATTTCAGTTTCCTGCCATTCAAAAGATAAAGATGTTATTCTCGCTGTTAGATGGGTCTTACGATATTCATCTTGTGCCAATGAACTTGTACTGATTGGTGATGACCAGGTGAGAGTTTAAGCTTTTTCATTACTCTAATAACTTTACATTTTTATTCTTTTGTCCCTATGTAAAGATTCATTCAGCAAATGGTAACAAGTAAATAATTGTTTTAATTAATAATGTAGAATATAATTAACTACAGCAGTACAAAAGGCTCACATTTGTTTTTTTTGTGGGGGGGGTTAAGCTTTAGATAGTTATTTAAGTTGGAGTGATACTGTAGCAGTATATTTGTATACATACTGATATCTACAATAACCAGTTCATGTAAATATTAGAGGAAATTGTGATTGGAGAGTGTGGCACATGTATAGAATAGAGAAGAGCCTGGGATACCTCAGTGGGAGGTGTGTATAAACTCAAACAAGCTAAAGGTTTTTTGTTGTTTTTTTTTTTCCTTACTGTTCTTGGATTGATGGTATTTTTTGAGTCCAAGCTAAGTGAATCATTTTTGTTCTGTTGTGTGCATTTGCTATACTTGTTTCTCAAGAAAGTAACAGATTTTGTTTTTTTTTTTATTTTGCCATTTGAACAACAGGGGTAAAAAAAACAAAAACACTACACTTAAATATTTATTTTTAGAAGCTATTTACAATGTGGTAAAGTTTGTTTGGTTTTTTTTTTTTTTTTTTTTTTTATAATTAATTTACTAAGCTTAGCCTAGCACAAGGCCACAGTATTGGGGTACCTGTGAAAGTTACTTTTACCGTAATGAATTTAACAATATATGTCATAAGTGCCCCTATTTTAATTTTCATAAATAATGTGAGGGGATACGAATATAATTGTAATAAGGGTAAATTTTTCTGTTATGCACTCTACCCTTAAGGGGATTAATGTGAAGTAAAAGACAAAGAAAGAAGTGATGAAAGGGGAGTAAATTTTTGCAATAAGCAACTTGTTTACATCTCTAATTTCTGTGTCCTTAACATTATAAAAAAAAAAAAGAAAAAAGGGGGTTTTCAGATTTGAGGAAATAGCCAGACTGAGAAATCTCAGTACTCTTTTATACTGATGCGGCATTCACCCTGGGTGGATTGAGCCGGCTTCTTCCTGTTATGAGAAGAAGATTCTTGGGATAAATTACAGAAGTAGGGTACCCAGGCCTACTCGGATAACGTTCTTGCTTGCCGCGGAGTTCCCACAGACGCAGAGACAGGAACGACCAGAAGCCACCGGTTACCGATGCAGACGCTCCTTGGATTTTCACCAGTGCCCTTGTTAGCCGGCGTGTGTGTCAGACCTGTCCGCCTTGGGTGGCCCTACCAGGAACGAAGTTCCGGGCGGCATAGCTCTGACACTACTTGTTTACACCCCCCCACCAATTGTGAGGTAAGGGTTGGACTTTGGGGGCTTACAGTACCAGGTGTTCCCAAGCTGTCCCCCATCTAAGTACTGACCTGGCTCTACGATGCTTAACTTCGGTGATCGAATGAGAACCGGTGTTTCAGCGTGATTTGACCATAAGCACTCTTTTATACATATGTAAGTAATCAGAAGACGCACTCATAATGGTTTTAACAAGTACAGGAATTAAAAAAAAAAACTTAATTTTTTATCTGATTTTTCTGGGATAAGGAATTATTATTTACACTATTTATATTTGGACTTTGTTGTTTTTTATCACAATGTTTCAGGTCATTGTGCCCTCCAACTTTTCTCAGGTGTATATCAATCTGGGTAACCTACTGAACCCTTTATTTAATCTATATGCAACTGTTAATGTCTAGTTCTTATTTTTATTGTTTTGCCTGTTTCCACTGAGTGCAAGTATATTGAACTTGCAACCACGATGTCACCAAATTTACAAACCAATGCTTTTACCCACTAAGCCATTGTCTGATGGCTGCTGGAGAAAGCTTAGTCTTAAAGCTAACCTTGGCTACTGATTAGTCTTTGATTGCTGCTGCTGTCATTTGTTTTTCTTTATTAGTGGCTCCCATATTGTATTTATTTCTATGTTAGGCCTACCAAGGAGGTTCTCCATAGCCTAGTATAGAATATGCACTTTTTGAGGGTCGAAGGGGACAGCGGACAAATTGTTGGGGTAAAAACAACAAAGATGTGGACAATAGTCCAAATATAAATACTATAAATTAAAAAAAAAATCTTTTAGTGTTCGTCATGAAGTGAAGCCACCCTTTATTGCAGGAGGAGAAAACTACTTCCTCCTCTTCCTGTCATTCTTCTGAGTTTTTCTTTTATGTAAAGTGTTTCTAATTTCTTCCCTCCAAAATATGCTGCTTATATTCTAGCAACACAATAAAAATGTTTAGGTCATTTTCTTCAATTGGTTCCATCACTGCTTTATACTTGGAACAAAGAAAAACGATGCATGGTGGACACACTGAAGTGTTGTTCCTGTCTCCAGACAATGTTATAGCTGCAGCCATTTGATCAATTTATCCTGTTTGCATATCTGCCTAGGCTTTGCCAGGTTTCATGCTGCACTTTATGCTAACTCTATTAATGCATCATGGATTTAGAGAACAGCTGCATAGTTGAAGATAAAATTGAACTTATTAGTGTATCTGTTCATGCTTGACATTATAAAATGAGGCAGTTGATGATTTCAAGGGCTTCTCTACACTTGATGGGGAAGTGGAGGAGATTTTGCAGACTGAAGGTGAAGTTGGTGAAGAAGGCTTCTCTGACATGATTAAGGAGGACTTCTTGAAAAAACAAAAAAGGTATTGGCAAAAGGACAGAAATTGTTGACATCATCATTGCAATTGTTCTTTGATGAAGCCAAGAGTAATGCAGCAGCTGCTTATAATTGTGAAGCCGCCTCATTCACTCTTGAAAATCCTTAGCCATCAACCTCAAGATAAACATCATTGTAACAGAAAATAAAAATAAAACTAGGAAAAATTTTTGCCAGATGATTGGCCACAGTTAATGAATTTTGTATCTAAAATGTAAGTAGAAATATTTTGCACTTGATTCATTGTACCCAAGTTGACATTTTTCGGATTTTATCTATAATATTTTATGAAGTAGTCTTGGGAGATGGGTTTATCTGAATTTCTGTTAATGATTATTACAAAAATATACTTTTTTTTTTCTTTTTTTTTTTTGTATTTTAAAATACTTGACTACAATGAATTACCAATCAGCAAACTGAAAAATCTTTTCACAGAATTTGCGATAACTTAAGTTTGCTAATCAACACCTACATGTTTAAATTTTATGATAGGTATGAAAAGGCTGGTTTTGATGATTAAGATATTTTTGTTTGTAGTTTGCAAATTAAAATATGAAATTCTGTAAGTTGAAAGAAATTGCTGCTACAATAAAGAAACAACTGAATATTATGGACTTATGGTAAAAGAATGAAGTTGCCATGTTTGTTTTTTCTATTTATGTGAAACAAATGGATCATGTAAAGGATAAAGTTCAGCATATTGCAATATACTTAAAAAAATAGTTTATCTAAGGTTATAAAATGCTCATGTTTCATGAGTAGTCATCAATATTGGCAAACAACTATTATTAAAATTTTAATTTTGCTTTTTAACAATGAAGAGTTTGAGTTGCTATAGGAAAGATTATCTAAAATAAAATGGTATTTAATAAAGATGTTGATTTTGCCAAAAAAATAATGATTACATTGAAAACCATATACTGTAGTGTCTATATTAAAAATAAAAAAGTGAATAATATTAGAAAATTGGAATGTGGTGTGCTTAAATTGTTTGTTCGGTAGACTGAGCCTATAAACATTAACAGCACCTGGGGGACACTAGTCAGGTGGGAGAAGAAATATCAAATTTGGACTTCCAAAATCCCCACTACACACACACTTCACCTAGAAAATAAAAAGTAGTTAACATTGGTACAGCATGTAGGTCTTTTAAAGGGGTGAGAGAGTAAGAATATGCAACTTCAATTCCACATTCCAGAATCAAACATGCTTTTTTCCTATTTTTTTATCACCCCAAGCAAGGCAATAAAACCACTAAGATGCAAAGAGCTACTGAGTGTGAAAGAACATATGAGAAAAAGAAACATTAAAGAGAGAGAACAATAAAAGAACAAGACTTAAAACAGAAGATAATGATTTGATTGCATTTAAATTTTTGAAAATCGAAGTTGACAGGAAAGCAAGAGGCCAGAGGAGTTTCACAAGCAAAAACCGCAAGAGAGGAAACTGCTAGTATAGAACTTATGGTTACATCTAGCCATTTCAACTGTAAAATGATGAGACCTAGCTGCCAATCTAGCACTGTGCTTAAACTTGTAAAGTTGAGGCACCAAAGAGGAAAGCTCATTAGAACAATTACTTCAAGCTGAAGAAGCATTGTAATAAAGAGGACATTAATCTGAACTTAGCAAAAGCAAAATGGCATATAGCATTTGTGTAAAAATTGAATTCTTTATTTGAAATTTACTTGAAATTACAGCAACCAACTTAACAACTCAAGTTTCTTACTACAATATTGACAAACATAAGATTTTAAATTCAACAATTCAATTTCTGATTTGTTGTCACCACTTGTCCATTGATCAGTTAACTTTGCAGTTTCTGTCGGCAATCTGCTGTAAATAATAAAAAAGAAAAAAGTCGACTGTCTGCTTTTTGCATTATCCGTTCTGTATTTGTTTAGGTTGCTTTGTAAGTATGACTCCTTGTTTTAATCTTCCCTAACCTTTATTCAGATGTTGAATTGACATAAGCTATTGTTAAAGTTAGAATCAGTTACTAAGCTCTTCCTTCAAAGTAGTATTGAAGTGTATGATGACACTGATTTGGAAATTAACAAGTGCAACTATTCACTTTATTACTATTCTAATCTAACTAAGAAGTCTCTCTCTCCCCAGTTTTATTGTGGCTCTCCCAAGCTTCCTGTCTTTTGTTCTTATCACCAATACTTTCTCTTTTATGACTTTGGTACTTGTTTCTCCATCTACTTTTTCAATTAGGCTTGTAGAACTACACACTGCATGTTCTTTTGTGGTAACCTATCAAGGATCCCTAATCACAGCAATAGATGTAGCACTACAACTGGTGACACTGCTTATTTTGCTCACATATCTGGTAACATACTGGATAGGAAACTCTTCTACCTACATTGTATTTAGATAAGTCACAAGTTCAGGGTTGTAACATTGCAAGAACAAAATAATCACAATCTACACAACTGAATTTGACAGATTCACAAGATTGATTGATTGAAGTCATGAATAATGATTTAGAAGATCAGAAAACTTTTTAGCAAGATTTGAAACATTTTGGTTTATTGTAGCTGTTGGATACACAGGTTTTTCAAATTAGCAGCAGCTTTTTCCAATTCTTATGTTTGATAGCAATACACTGTAGTTTGTTCTCAGAATTGCTTATTTACAACTATAGCAATTATATGTCTACTTGTTTGTTTTTATCTCTCTTAACAAAAATAATTTACACTATTTATTGTTTATTGAAATGGTTGGTAAAATATTAGCTAATTGCCAATCAATTCAAACTTTATAAAAGGGTAAATAAGGATTTCCTTATAGTTGGTTCACATTTTAATTTACTAAATGTTCATAAATTTATGAACAAAATATTTCCATTTATTTTGTAAGTTGATAAATGATAAATATTGTATTAGTTTTTAGAATGTTGTAAATAAAATTATTCTCTAGAACAAAAAAGTGTTAAAATTCTAATTATCACCTTTTAAATCAAACATTATCAAGTAGGTAGTTAAAATAATGGGAAAAACGTTTTTTGTTTTGTTTTGTAGGCACAAAGGTCCAACATTGCACAGGAAACTAAAAAACTAAAAAGATTTTCATTATCGAACCTTAATTTTAGATCACTTCTTTCATTTTTATTTGTAATTTTTAATTTTGAATAACTTAGATGTTTGTTTATTCCATAAGTATATTTCCTCCACTTAAATTATTAGATAACTCTATTCTAATATTTCATTACCATTTTATTATTTATTAAACTATTGAATTTTACTTGCCTATTGTTTTAAAATTCTTTTTTAAAGAGTTCAGTAATCAGCATGTAGATTTAACAAAACTCTTGCTATTTCCCTCTCTCAAGTGACAATTCCTACAAGGCAACATTTGCAGTTTTGATTGAATTAAATGATGTAAAAACCCTAAAAAAAATAAATGTAGAGCAGTTTCTACTGAACAATTTAAATATGAAATTAGCAGTGACATTTTGAACAGTAACAAAAAAATTCATAAAAGTGATGGGTTTTGTTATTGTATATAATTCCCTTTTGATTTCTGCTAAATTCCAGCCATACTTTTTCACAAGTCCTAGTGATGTAACATTTGCCTCTCATCTAGCACATTCTGTGCTCACTATCTTAAAATTCATTCATTCATGTGGTTGATAAGATTCTCAGTGTTGTACTGGTATTTTTATATTTTTATTTTTGTGAGTTCTTTTCTGTAGCTAATATATTCTTCTTTATTTTTCTCTCCTAGCAAAGGATAGGCAACTACATGAGCAATGACATTAGGTACCAAGATGAAAATTACTCTAAGTTTGAATTTTCTCGAGGCAGAGTTGAAGCCAAATGTGAAACACCCACTTTCCTGACAGTAAGTTTAAATTCTTTTTTTCTTTTTTCTCTTTCTTCTCTCTTTTCTCTTTCTTCTCTCTTTTCTCTTTCTTCTCTCTCTTCTTTCTCTTCTTCTTTCTTCTTTCTCTTCTTCTTTCTTCTTTCTCTTCTTCTTTCTTCTTTCTCTTCTTCTTTCTTCTTTCTCTTCTCTTTCTCTTCTTTCTTTTCTCTTTCTTCTTCTTTCTTTTCTCTTTCTTCTTCTTTCTTTTCTCTTTCTTCTTCTTTCTTTTCTCTTTCTTCTTCTTTCTTTTCTCTTTCTTCTTCTTTCTTTTCTCTTTCTTCTTCTTTCTTTTCTCTTTCTTCTTCTTTCTTTTCTCTTTCTTCTTCTTTCTTTTCTCTTTCTTCTTCTTTCTTTTCTCTTTTTCTTCTTTCTTTCTCTTTCTTCTTCTTTTCTTTTCTCTTTCTTCTTCTTTCTTTTCTCTTTTCTTCTTCTTTCTTTCTTTCTTCTTCTTTCTTTTCTCTTTCTTCTTCTTTCTTTCTCTTTCTTCTTCTTTCTTTTTCTCTTTCTTCTTCTTTCTTTTCTCTTTCTTCTTCTTTCTTTTCTCTTTCTTCTTCTTTCTTTTCTCTTTCTTCTTCTTTTCTTTTCTCTTTCTTCTTCTTTCTTTCTCTTTTCTTCTTCTTTCTTTCTCTTTCTTCTTCTTTCTTTCTCTTTCTTCTTCTTTCTTTTCTCTTTCTTCTTCTTTCTTTTCTCTTTCTTCTTCTACTTTTTCTCTTTCTTCTTCTACTTTTTTCTTTTTCTCTTTCTTTTTCTACTTTTTCTTTTTCTCTTTCTTCTTCTACTTTTTCTCTTTCTTCTTCTACTTTTTCTTTTTCTCTTTCTTTTTCTACTTTTTCTCTTTCTTCTTTCTTTTCTCTTTTTCTTCTTTCTTTTCTCTTTCTTCTTCTTTTCTTTTCTCTTTTTCTTCTTCTTTCTTTCTCTTTCTTCTTCTTTCTTTCTCTTTCTTCTTCTTTCTTTTCTCTTTCTTCTTCTTTCTTTCTCTTTCTTCTTCTTTTTTCTCTTTCTTCTTCTTTTTTCTTTTCTTCTTCTTTTCTTTTCTCTTTCTTCTTCTTTCTTTTCTCTTTCTTCTTCTTTCTTTTCTCTTTTTCTTCTTTCTTTTCTCTTTCTTCTTCTTTCTTTTCTCTTTCTTCTTCTTTCTTTCTCTCTTCTTCTTTTTCTTCTTTCTTCTTTCTTTTCTCTTTCTTCTTCTTTCTTTTCTCTTTCTTCTTCTTTCTTTCTCTTTCTTCTTCTTTCTTTTCTCTTTCTTCTTCTTTCTTTCTCTTTCTTCTTCTTTCTTTTCTCTTTCTTCTTCTTTCTTTTCTCTTTCTTCTTCTTTCTTTTCTCTTTCTTCTTCTTTCTTTTCTCTTTCTTCTTCTTTCTTTTCTCTTTCTTCTTTCTTTTCTTTCTTCTTCTTTCTTTTCTCTTTCTTCTTCTTTCTTTTCTCTTTCTTTTTCTTTCTTTTCTCTTTCTTCTTCTTTCTTTTCTCTTTCTTCTTCTTTCTTTTCTCTTTCTTCTTCTTTCTTTTCTCTTTCTTCTTCTTTCTTTTCTTTTCTTTCTTCTTCTTTCTTCTTCTTTCTTTTCTTTTCTTTCTTCTTCTTTCTTTTCTTTTCTTTCTTCTTCTTTCTTTTCTTTTTCTTTCTTCTTCTTTTTTTTTTCTTTCTTCTTCTTTTCTTTCTTTTCTTTTCTTTTCTTTTCTTTCTTTCTTTTCTTTTCTTTCTTCTTCTTCTTTCTTTCTTTTTTTCTTCTTCTTCTTTCTTTTCTTTTCTTTCTTCTTCTTCTTTCTTTTCTTTCTTTCTTTTCTTCTTTCTTTTCTTTCTTTCTTCTTCTTCTTTTTTTTTTTTTCTTTCTTCTTCTTTCTTTTCTTTTCTTTCTTCTTCTTCTTTCTTTTCTTTTCTTTCTTCTTCTTCTTTCTTTTCTTTTCTTTCTTCTTCTTCTTTCTTTTCTTTTCTTTCTTCTTCTTCTTTCTTTTCTTTTCTTTCTTCTTCTTCTTTCTTTTCTTTTCTCTTTCTTCTTCTTCTTTCTTTTCTCTTTCTTCTTCTTTCTTTTCTCTTTCTTCTTCTTTCTTTTTCTTTCTTTTTTTCTTCTTTCTTTTCTCTTTCTTCTTCTTTCTTTTCTTTTCTTTTCTTCTTCTTTCTTTTCTCTTTCTTCTTCTTTCTTTTCTTTTCTCTTTCTTCTTCTTTCTTTTCTTTTCTCTTTCTTCTTCTTTCTTTTCTTTTCTCTTTCTTCTTCTTTCTTTTCTTTTCTCTTTCTTCTTCTTTCTTTTCTTTTCTCTTTCTTCTTCTTTCTTTTCTTTTCTCTTTCTTCTTCTTTCTTTTCTTTTCTCTTTCTTTCTTTTCTTTTTCTTTTTCTTCTTCTTTTCTTAAAAAGGATATACTTTCTGGAAAATGACTTGCATAAATCAACATTTAAACTGTTTTATAAAATGTTTCTGCATATAATTTTATTATGCAGTCTTTTTGTTGATCATTTGGATTTTTCTTCAGTAGGGATCTTTCAGGAAAACTCTATGCATGGTCATATAAACCAAGTTTTTAAAATATTATGTACACTTATTTTATCTTTTTTCTTTATTTCTTTTTAAGCTAATTTATGTTAATGCATTTAATTTTGCTTAAATCTAGATGCTTGTCTTTTTGTTTTAGAATTTTCTTAAACTTTTGCATGTTTGTAGATTTAAAATCATAAACGGAAACATCCAAAATTTTATTTTATTTTTTTTAATTTTTTTTTTTTGTCTTGGAGTTTTTGCATGTCATGCTTTTTGTTCATTACTTTCAGAAACGGTTACCTGTTAAACAAGTCATTGAATCTTCTCAAGAGTTGGTGAGATTTACTTATCTCTAACTTGTAAAATCTATTTTTAAAATGTTGTTGTTGCTATGCAACCATGAAGATAAGATCTCTTCAGTTTTGGAGATTGTTCTCCCTGCTCTATAAAACTTTCCCCTTACCCTACTCTTTTATTCAACTTAGAAACATTTTATGTATTTTCTTATATTCATTTATGAGCAATATTTACAGTTTTAATTCTCATGAGCACTTTTTTTTTTCTTTTTTTCCAAGTTAAAAATACTCTGAAAACAATATAAACCCATACATACAGTATACAGGCAACAGAGAAACTGATTTTAAAGCACAGTAATTTCCATGTTATTCGGATGAAATGTTTTAATTTGTTTAAAAACTATTACAATGAATTCCTCTCTCAGCCAATATGAAACAGTCATTTTTATGGTGAAAGTCACTCTGATAGATGCTTCTGACACTTCTCTCTCTCTCTTGTAGGTAACTGGAAATGATTTGGCACACCACTTTTTAGTGCAATAGGAAGGTATTATTTAAGGGGCAGATATAAGGTTAATATTACTGATACAGTTAGCTTCCAAATTAAAGTAACAGGTGAAGTGTAATGCATTATAGTTTAGATCCTATTTAAAAAAAAAAAAAAATTTCGTCTGTTAAATAAAAAAAAAAAGTGTTGGCATTAGGTCTGTTCAGAATCATCTATTTTAGATATATCTAGAACCAGTTGCATGACTTTGTAACATGGAAACCAATTTTAGTGAAACTTGTTGGGCTATCACTTTCTTGATGACTGAACAAGTACATTGTTCACATCTTGTGAAAGTTTTTAGCAAGACGTCACATCATGCAGATCTGCAATAATGACAATTAAAATGAAGGTCACATTATGCAATTTGTCATTTTTCATTTCTGTTTTTACTTGTTAAGGAAATCTGATTCCTTTTAACTGCACCACATTTCACATTTTCATCAACTCTGAAAATGTGGTTGTCATATCAGAATCCTTAAATCTTTGCATACAAAAATGGAATTTTCTCTTGGTTTTACAATCATTTAATTATTATTGAATTCTTTGGGTTAAAATAATAGGGGTTCAAATTTTCAAGTCCTCTGGATCAAAATTTGTTGAATTGTTATGTCACAATTTTGTGACATAACATCCAATTTAGAAAAATGGTGCAATCTTCAGATGTCTTGAAAATGGTTTTCCTGTGAAAAACTGGAGTTAAAATTATCCAGTTTTTCTTATTTATTTTATTCAGGTGTGTGATCTATTTTAACATTGTTTAAAAAATGGGGATAATCTGAGAAGTGGTGGGTGTTGAATCCAGACTGAGTTGACATGGAAGTCCCATAACATAAAATAGAATTAATTCATGTGTACAGACAACTAGTTCTATAATTTCCTGATTAGATTATGATATCTACTATATTCATTGATACTCATGACAAGTTAAAACAAGGAAATTATCAATTTAAATTTTTAAAAAATTTTTAAAACTTTTTTTTTTCCTTTATCTAGGCTAATTCTACTGCAGATGCTCGTGGAAGGCATGCTGCAGCTGCTGGTTCTGTTACTACAACAAACACTTCAACGGCAGCTGCACACACTTCTAATTCTACCATTCCACAGGTAATGATCTACTTTTACACCATGATACTTATCATTTAAAATTTTTAAAACTTGTTTCTTGTACATTTATCATTTCAAGAATTGTCCATGTTTACCATTTGGTTATCAGTGAAGATGAGATAAGAACTAAAATTTATACTTTCTTTTGGTCTATTAAATGAAATTTTGATACTGCATTTCTCTTTTCATGTGTGCATTTTTGTAATCCAACTTTTTTTTCTTTCTTTTATTGATTATTCCTCTTAAAGAAAATATTCAGATGCTTTTCTGTTTAGTCATAAATATTTATGCTTTGAGATTATCACAAATGTAGTCTGAAAATCACTAATAATCTACAGACATTGCTTGCCTTGGTATATAAATTTTCATTGGTGAATTTTGTTATAAGTCCTCTTAATAACTTTCTGCTGTTTATGGCATCTGTGTCTTCTGATGCTTTGTCTCTTAAGCTAATGTGTGGTGTAATGCAAATGATTTTGTATCAGATGTCATTCCGGAAGCAGAGGATGTCAGGGTGGAAGATGCTGCTTGCTTGAAGAAGAAAATCAGTTACAAATTAACATCTTTTGTTATTGTTTTTAACTGATATGAGAACTGCAAGACATCAAAATTAAAGCTGACTTGGTTACAGTGTTTGCATGAGTCAGATTTGTAACCACTTGTCGGTGGAAAGAAAAGAGTACAGATGAAAATTATTACAGAAGTTAAACAGTGGAGATTATGGGGGAGGTAATTTGAAAGTTTGGCTTACATCTGAGTTAGTTTTTGTATTCTCAGGGAAAGACTGAGCAGTCTCACTGGGGTGAGGAAAAACCTGGCTATAGTCAGGATTCTGGAAGTGAGGTGGAGGTTTCTGCTATCTTTTACAGGAACATGAAGGAATTGAATAAGGGAAGGCAAGACATAATTTCTGGCCAGGAAGGTGAAAAACTGACCATAAGATGGTGAGATGTGACCAATGCCAGTTGATCAATCCCACACAGTGTGCATAGTATGAGAAATTCAGGTGTGCAAGTAATTAAAAAAGATAGTTAATATTACCTGTTACTGCAACAGTATGCTTGTTAGTTGATTTGTGGATCAGGGCCTTCCACTATCTGTAACATGGCTATGTTGTGGACAGTGGAAGGGCTTGGTCACAACAGTGATAAATGTGTTTTTGAGAAAGAGGCTCAGTAGATGATGGACAATAGTCCTACATCTAGATCAGTAGTGATGAAAGAAATATTGGACAGATTTCTTTAAGTGGTATTTTGGAATTACATATAAACTGAATAGAAATGATATTGTGAAGAAGCACCAAAGAATATGATTAAGGCGATAACTGAATTTTTGATATAACATCACTCAGGAGTTGTATTTAAATACAAGTAGAGGTAACTACAAGAGTATCAGTTGCCCAGGGAGGGACCTATGTGTCAGATGGCAAGGAAGTATAGACCAAGCTACCCAGTACGAACTCCACCTTTCAATGGGGTAAGGAAATAATAACCAGAATATCCTTTTATTTATAATATAATCTTTCTTCTTTTTTTTCTCTGTATTGTTTTCTCTTCAGGCTGTAGATGATTCACTTATTGCTGCAACTTGGCAAGATGGCCCTTATGCTTTCTTCTTTAATATTCAAGCAGAAAAAGACTTTACAGCTGAAGGTATGCTAACCTTTTTTCCCTTATCTGGATGATATTTTTTCAAATAGACATTGGTTTAGACTATAATTTAGCAATGTGTTGTCCAACAGCAGCAGGAAACCACATTATCTTGTATTGTGCATGAAGTGAAAAAGAACGTTAATCTGAATTTGCATACAGATACTTTAAAAAGAGTATATGTAAGAGCTGCTGTCTAACATTCAAGTGTATCTTGCACTGGTCACTAATTATTTTGATATGTTCTATGGAAATAATAATAAAAATATGTTTTCTTGAGTATAAAAACAATACCTTGCGGTTTAATTTGACATTGAAACTTCTGTTTAAGTATCATTTTCTTATTGGTGAGACAAAATTTATTTACTTATTTTTTTTTGTTTTTTTGTTTAAAATGTTACATTCTTTCCTCCATACATTTCTGGTAAATTTGTTGTTGCTTAATGAATTTGTTCTCACATGGGGTGGGGGAAGTGGCAAAATAGCTTACTACTATTATGATTAATACAGTAGTGGACATGCTATCAAAACATTTTTATATAAATAACTACAAAATAAAAAGTACAGTAGATAGTTTTGGGGGTTTTTTTTTTTTTTTTTTTTTGCTGTTGTTAATGAATAAATGGTTTTATTTTGTTATGATTGGCTTGGGAGGGGGCTAAACTTTGACTTGAAGAATAGATCCAACCTCAGTTTGATAATGAAAATTTGTTTTTGGTTTCTATTAACAATGTATAGTTAATTCAGTTTTGTTTTTTCTATTTAATTGAAGGTAACTTGAACATTATTTCATTTGCTTTTCTTTTAGTGACAATTCAGATGGTAGGAAAACATGGTTTTCTTTCTGCAAATGAATGGCCATTACTGTTGGTAAGTTTGTTTGGATGCTGAAGAAATTTGAGTCTCATGTTTATGTATTTATTTATTTCATTCAATTTAAAATCCTTTAATTTTTATTTTCTTAAAACCTAAGTCCTTTGCCCTATATGTGATTTTAAAAGTGCATAATTACAAGCATTGATACTATTGCCATCTGTGGCATCAATTTTAGTTCCAAAATGTACTTCACTTATAAATCAATATCAGATCGAATTGCAATAACTAAAGATCAGAATTGTTTTTTTTTTTTGTTAATGCATCAGATATTCACACTTAAAATGATATTGTGTTATGATCAGATTTTAGTTTACAAGTAACTTTGTCCCTCTCATTTCAAAAAATTGAAAAATAGAATTATCTTGTTCTTGTATTAAAATTCATTAATTGCAATGTCATTTTAAGAAAATATTTATTTCTTATTTAAATATTATTGCTCTATAAAATTTTGTTTGTTTGTAGCCCTTAGAAAGCTAGATTGTTTTTAATTTGCATTTAAATGTTCTGTTTTTTTGTTTTTCTTTCTTTCAGTTTTTTGGCATTATGGGTCTTGTTTACATTCTTTATGGTGTTGTCTGGTTGTTGTTACTTGCCTGTAATTGGAGAGATTTACTACGCATTCAGTTCTGGATTGGTGGAGTCATTTTACTTGGTAAGTAAATTGCATTTGTATTGACACAAAAGGAAATCATACATTAAACAAAGTTTTTGATCATTTTTCTGTTTACTTAATCAGTTTTTTAATTGAAAATAAAAAAATTCTGACTTAAGAATATAAAGAAGGTGACTAATATTCTTCTGTTATTTTAATGATTTCATTATTCTTTTAAAATGAACACTTTGAAGTTAAAAACCTGTAGATTTGCAAGTCTTAAATGTTAATCTGAAAAGTAAAAGCAATATCAAATGAAAAGTTTCTTTTCTCACGTGTGGAACTCCCTTCTGGCACCATGCTTTCCAGCCAACTTTAATTGCGAAAATTTAAATGCAATATCAATCACTATCTACTGTCCCCCTGATTACTTTTTCATCTTCCTGCTCGTTATTGATGTTTCTTTTACTAATTCTTCCACACATAATCCCTTGTCTGAGTGTCTTTACTGCCTTGCCACGAGGTGATACTAATTAAAAATGAAAATGAAAATAGCTGACATATAAACGAATAAGCTTAGTTAAAAATAACTCTCTTGCTCTCTACCTTTTATTGCAGTAACACCAAAAAAGAGATGAGATGCACTAAATTACTTCACAAATGACAAATATTCTGTAAATCTCCAAAGAAGTAATTTTTTTTTTTTTTTTTTTTCCCTGAATTTTAGGGATGTTGGAAAAGGCTGTATTCTATGCAGAATATCAAAGTATAAGCAGTACTGGAGTCTCGGGTAAAGCACCTAAATAGTTTCTATTTATTCTTGTGTGTTTATTAAACATTTATTTTAAAAGAATTTCTTATTCTGAGATAGAAGATTAGCTCTTGCAAATGAATTACTCAATTTAGTTTTATAACTTGGCTTTTAGATGTCTTGTCTGTTCAAAATTGATAAGAAATAATTTACTTGTTCTTTAATGACATTTGGAAAATTTGATTCATGTTCAGTTTCATTTGATACATTTTTCTCTACAAATGTTCACCTTTTTAAATTAAAATCTTTTTGGGGATGATCTACACTATTTTGACTAACTAGATCATACTTATTAACAATTTCTGAACTCAAGATGTGTATACAGGGCCAAGATGGTTTTATAAATATCTTATTTCAAAATCGACTTCTAAATCTAATTATTTTTCTACCCCTCACCCCTCCCCTTTTGGTATAGATTTTTATTTTGCTATCTTTGGATTTCAGTTCGTGGTGCAGTGATATTTGCTGAGCTGGTTTCCTGTTTGAAGAGAATGCTTGCAAGAATGTTAGTGATTATTGTAAGCTTAGGATTTGGAATTGTCAAGTAAGAATCATTATCTATACCCTTTTTTTTTCTCTCTCTCTCTGAAGTGATTGAATGGATGAATAACTACAGTGTTCTATTCTTTATAACAGTTATGAAAATTTTAGTTAAAAATGGATAATTTAAATTTTTAATGCTAATTTTTTTTTTTCTACTTTCAGTATATTTAAATTTTATTACATTTCTAAATCTACAAATGCTTACTGGAGATTTAAAGAAAAAAAATAGAAATAAATAAATCCTACAATCAAGAAATATTAGTGTTTCTAAAAATAAATTAAGGCTATAATAAATGGTTTTTAGTCTGTTGTTTGTACAAACTTCCATACAGAACTAAGAACCAACTTTTTATTCAAATAATCATCATGAATAAATTGTATTGTTTACAGCCCCTATTTTCTAACTTAGAATTAATGAAAATTTTTTTTTTTTTAAACTTTAAAATTCATATTTCTTAACTAAACTCAATAATTGCTAATTAGAAAATATGCTTTCAGTAATTTTAGTGAAATTATTAAAAGATCTTAAATCTACCAAACAGGTTGTTTTAATTTGTTTACATTTTGTGCTGATTTTGGCTCTCTGCATGAATCCGTCTAAAATATTAAAGTTTGTATTTTATTTCTTATTTAATGGAAGATACATTTTTTATTGCTCTATTTCTAATCTAAAAAGCTCAATATGTCTTGCGATCTCTCTCTCTCTGCTTAAATTTTGTATCATTTCTGATTATGCTCTAAACTAGAATTATTCTACTTTTTCTATTTCAGGCCACGACTTGGACTTACTTTTCACAAAGTCTTGTGTGTGGGAATTTTGTACTTTATTTTGGCATCAATAGAGGGCTGCTTACGATCCCTAAAGGTGTGCATATCTCAGTCTTGGCAATTGAATTCTAAAGTCATTCAAAAATTGCAGACGCTCAACATATTTTTGTAATATTTTAATTTTTTTAGCGTTGCCTTTTGGTTTATTGTTGCCTTTTAGGCAAAGAAAAAAATCTTCCCTGTTATTTATTCCCTGTTTACTTGAGTATTTGGAAATTTGAATGACTTACCTCAGTTTGATCTTATTTAAAAATTATTACTGTGGGTGGAAAATATGGTCTAAAGAAGCATTTTATTGTGAAAGTTGAATTATAGACTTGGAATTTCCTTGACATTTCCAACCTCTTATTTTCTGTCCAGAACATATGCCAATACTCTTTCATTTCAACTAAATCATTTTATTTTTTCTTTAATAGCCCAAGAGTGACCAATCAAAAGAACTGATGCTGGCAAATGTCCCATTAGCCATTGTTGATGCAGCAATTTGTTGGTGGATATCCTTGTTAAGAATTCAATGTTTGTTCTGTCTGTCTATACACACACACACACACACACACACACACACACACACACATTACCTATTTGTTACATTGATTCCATTTTGATTTAGGCTTAAATTAAGTTTCTTAGATAAATTATTTTCATTATTGTTTTTGATGAAGGCAATCTTGCATTTTATAAAATGTCTTAAGTACTATGAAAAAAAACAAGAATAAGTTGGAAGGAGAAAAGTTAAAAATTAATATCTTAACGTTCAACCATTGGTTCATGAAATATGGTTATATTTTTAAATTCATTGACTTGGAGAAATAATTAAAATAACTAATAATTGATAATCTAGTATGTGACTTGATTGAGACAATATTGAACTCTAAATGGTTACAATTTTTTTCAAAAATATTGTGCATCTTCATAGTATTCAGATTTGTCATAAACTGTCTATAATTTGCCGATGTCTAAAAAGTAACTCTATTTTACAAATTTTTGTAAGTTACTATTAAAATTGTTATTGAAAATCCCAATTGGATGTTTCCATATTTTTCTTTAACATTTTTATGTTAAAAGTAATATTCAAGCTTGATATGTATGTTTTTATTTTCTGGATACTTGAGCTTTCATCTATAATCTCAAAGCATTTTTTTTATTTTTATTTATTTTTTTTTTTTTCTCATTGAATGCGATATTTCTAAATTGATAACAGGTTTTATGTTGTTTCCTTAATTGCTTTACATCTTTTCTGGCCTGGTGCAAACAACTAGAACACTTCGATTAAGAAGGAACATTGTTAAACTGTCGCTGTATAGACATTTTACTAATACCCTTATATTTGCAGTATTAGGTAAGTTTGTTTCTTAACTTTGTATTTTGTTATTTTAGCAATTTTAGATATTGATCAAACAGCCAGTTTAGCAGTGAGGCAAACTCCTTTGTAGTAACACATAGAAATAAAATGGGCTATAACTTTGATTTAAAAACAAATGTCATCTTAATAATAATAATAATAAAAAATGAATACAACCCATTATGGAGAAAATACCACATTATTAATAAGCATTTGTGGTATTTTCTCCATAAGCAATGCACTTTTTCCTATCACCAATATTAGTAAAACTCATCCTTAAAGAATGTAACATTTGCAGACATTATAACCATATATAATCCATATCCACTTCTAACATTTGTTGTTATATTTATCATACAATTAAAAAAAAAAAAACACCAGTTTGCCCATTTTTAATACAGGCCAAAGATTTCTTAAATTTTTAAATAAGAATAATTGTCTTAACTAAATTCCAATTCTTCATATACTTTTCTAGAAATGCTCCTAATAAAAGGCTGCTTTCAAGTCCCAGAATGTATAAAGCCCTACCTTCTTTTGATAAAGACTACCCCCACCCCAAATACAATACTTTTTAGTGTAGTTTGTGGGAAGTCCAGTTTGGTTACCCTCAAAATCTCTTGTATTCCATATTGTTATAAAGTAGCCACTTTTTCATTATGCAACATGTTTCATAAATATGTAATGTTTAAAGTCCAATTAACATTTCTCTTTCCCTTATGTGGAAACAACTCATTGAAATGGCAAAACACTTTTGGTGCAAATGATTTTCAGTACTTGATGATGGTATCTTGAGAGGTTGACTATTTCCCCTGTTGTATAACATTGGTTATTCTCAATGGCATTTGATTGCAATCACACCTTAATTCAGTTTATCTGACTGTGAAACCAGCTCAAAACCTGGCAAACCATTTCTGACATGTTCAATTACTCACAATACCTTCTCCATTAAATGTATGAATCTATTTGTAAAATGTTACGAAAAGGGAAAGATTTTGTTTATCCTTTTGCTAGCAAAATCTTAATTGTAATTTAAAGCTTAATTTTAAAGCAATGAATTTCAAAAATGTTACCAAATGTTTTGCCTGTGGCATGAATAAAAATAAAATACTCTAGCATTTCTCTGGCCAATAATATCCAATTCATTAATGCAACAGAACTTTGAAAAATGAAATAAGATTTTTTTTTTTTTTTTTTTTTTTATATTGTTTATGTGCCTGACTCTATGCAAGTCATTAATGGCTGTCGTCACAATAAATCTTATTCACATAAACATTTCATGGTAATTAACAATTGTGCCTTATCAATCATATCATCTTTATTTTTTTTTTTTTTTTTTTAATGATGCCATTTAAAGGCTGTATTCATGGATGATTTTTCTACTTTTTCAGCTTCCATAACATACATGGCTTGGTCCATAACACAACACAAACTGAAATTTTGCCTCACAGTAAGTTCTCTCTTCATTAAATGTTTCTATTTTGTCATAATCTTCTATCACATGTGCACACACATGGCCTGATGATAGATTACACTAAGCTGAATAAATATGCTTTTAGATCTGCTAATACATTTTCTCTCTCTCTCTCTTTCATTAAGTGCTGGGAACCAACATATTTTGTTTCAATTTCTTAGGTATTTGTGATTTATTTTTATATTTTATTAAAATTTAAACTTTTTAATTGTTCCTGATTTACTGATTCAACAGGAAATGACAAATTTATATTTAAACAAAGAAAAATTTATTATTAGAATATTCTTCAACATTATATATTCCACTTTGATAAAAAGTTGTCATTTTGCTTCTTAAAGAATCTAACCTTGTTGACAGGGCAAAGAATATGCCAATTATATCCCTTGCAGGGCAGTAAAATACCTCCTCCTCCTCCTCCTCCACCTGCTATTGCTCATGACGCCTGTGGTTGAGCAGTCCATAGTCTTAAAGATTAAATAATTATGTGATTTGCAACGCTCTGCTTCATCCCTGAGTTGGGCCAGACAGGTGCTTGTCATGTCAAACTTTGGGAGATATGTCTTGTAGGCCTAAATTGTCTTTTCTTCCAATATGAAGAAATCTTACAAGTTCATAATTAATCCTTTCCTGTATAAAGGGCTTATGGCCACATCCCGTTGACCCACCAGTTCCATACAGTCACCAAAGTTAAGCAATGTCGAGCCTGGTCAGTACCCAGATGGGTAACTGCTTGGGAATACAAAGTGCTGTAAGCTTGGATGCACAGTTGCTATAATGGATAATGTCTCCAAATTGTTAATTGGACAACCGAGTTCAAGTTGGGTTTGTTATAATAATTTACATGCAAATACCCTTGGGAAAAGTATGAATCTATTTCTTCTCTCCCCAGCTATAGGTTAACTAGTAAAACTTGTATTACTAAAACCATTATTATCTCCAAAAAAATAAAATTGCATACAAAATATTTAAATTTCAACATTTAATAACTCCTAGAGGTTGACATGCTGCTAAACAAAAACACCCAACATAAGTATAAAAAGTTACTGATGGTCAATAAATTTGAGAGATAAAACTAGGACATGTTCATTATTCCCCTGATGTTCCCCTATATTTGAGTAAAGGAGCATAAGGTCTATGAATGCATATAGTCCCCCTCCTCTTGAATATAAATATACTATTCTTCAGAGTGATTGGGTTTCTTCTTTGACATATCTCATGTTCGACCTGAAGAGGATTGAGGAGCCAGAGTAATGAAGGAATCAATGATCTAGTCTTCACAAAATCTGGCAAAAGGCCACAAAAGGTCTTCTCTCAGGCAATGGAGATGGTCAAAATTTAAATGTTTCCAGTCTTTATATCCTTGGAGATCAATGACAGACATTCCATTCATATCTGCAACTCTGGTCACCAAAAACTGTACAAAAAAATGTAGAAAAACTATTAAAAGCAACAATATTCTCCAGTCCATGCATGCCCACACCTAACCCTGAATACACCCAAGTGTAGTAGGGGCTCTGAATTGATTTTCTCTCTCTCACACACACGCACACACACACATATATATATGACTCTAGAAATAAGTACTGGAGGCAAGGCATATGGTAGCAGCTTAAAAGATATATATGTTAGCTTGATAGGCAAAATGTCTTTATTCATTCAGAAATTCCAATAAGAGTCCCACTTGAAGCCATACTGAGTGAGCTGCACAGCCAAAAGCTAAATGTACCACACAGTCGCATTCTGTCTCTCTCTGTTTTCCATTAAAAATGAACAGTACTATTGAGTCCAATTCTGGATTGGATAAATCCCTATTTCTAGGCGATTTCTCAATTACTTCTCATCACCACACATGCTAATAATTGAAAGATGGCCACAATAAAATTATGTGATGATGGTCCTATGACAATGGCTTACACATTTCTAAGGCCAAACCGTTTCTATGTATTTCTGCAACAAAAAATGCTTCACTCAACTTGAATAATTACAATATCCCAGTTGTTCAAAAGATAAAATAACTGGAAATAATCATTGAAATTTAATTTATTATTAAATTTCATTTCTGTTATTTTTGACCAAAGTGCTAATGAGCTTTGGATTTCTGAAGTTGTATCGGGGCTTGCAGATCTTTACTGAGATCAAAAACTGGACAGTAGTCTACAGCTCTGCTTGTAAAATGTATCTCAATAGACTACAGCTTGTCCAGGACCAGTATCAGTCTGGGGGCTTTCCACATATTCCCAATGCAAAGACCACATACTGCAGCCAATAGACCCCTCCTTTTTCATATCCACAAAATCCCACTTACAATTGTTTCTTTCAAGTGCAATGTACCACCCCCTCCCCTATTTTAATAAAAAGTAGAAAACTCTTAAACCATACAACCTCCATATTAGAATTGATAAACGAAATAAAAGCAGACAAAACGAGTGCATAAATCCACCCGCCATTTCTAAAACTTCACTCTGGCCGTTAAAGTAACCACCTGTCTAATTGGATTGAGATACCCATCACATTTCCAAATCATTGAAAACATCTATCCTGATTCTTTACAAGGACATATGTATTTACTGAATTTTTGTGTGTGTTTTCCAGCCAACTCTAATCTGCAAAAATTTAAATGCAATGTCAATCACTATCTACTGTCCTGATGACTCTTTCCTCTTCCTGCTCATTAGTAATGTTTCTGTTCCTAATTCTTCCACACCCAGTAATCCCTTGTGTCTTAGTGGCTTTACTACCTTGCTTAGGGTGAAATCAAACTTTTATATATTGTAATGTATATATAATCTTCTCAGAGCAATGCTTATAGCACTGAACACATGCACACACGAATCACCATGTTGCTGAAGAGGATTGATATTCTTTACAAACCCTCCTCCTGTGCTGGATGCAAAGTCATATTGACATCTCTGGAAAGGAAAAAGCAAATAGTAAAAGAAAATCTCTTTAAAACACCAAGAAGAAAAATCTGACATACTGATCAGAATCCAATAATTTTCAAATTCATCAACCATAAATGGCAGAAATTGTAAAACTAACTTTCCAATCAACCAACCACCATTAAATAGCAGGATAGGCTACACAATAAGAGCAAAAGAAGTGGTTCTGGCTAGAATGTGTATAGAACATACCTACATTACCCATTTATTCCTCGTTTTAAAAAAAAAAAAAACTAAGAATAAAAAATAAAAAAAAAACTCCTCCTGCCCAAAAACTCACCTTCTGGTCATGTGCTGTGCCAAGAGCCTTACAACATTTAAACATTTAAGCAAGATGCAGTAATTTTAGTTCAGTCAGATCAACACATTACCAAGCAAATAACTTAAAAAAAAAAAAAAAAAAAAAAACTTATTCAGCAACGCCAACACAAAAAATACTTAAAATGTACTTGCATAGTTTTATTTTCTACAAGTACAATTTGAAAAAAACAAAAACCTTAAGCCACTCGGTACCAAATCACTCCCCTCCACACACACACACACACACACACACACACACACACACGTCTTGGTATTAAATGACTCACAGAGGTCAATATGCCACTAAACAAAGATAACCTTAAGTAATCAAATTCCAATCTACTCTGCGTTCCTTTTTGTACTAGTGCCCATCCCTTCTCTGCCCACCCCCAAGCTAAAAGTTAATAGACTGTATTCTTGGGCCTAAGGTAGGGTTTGGGATCTTTGATCCATCAGTTTCGCACCATTTTTATTGAGCAAAATAGCAGCACCTCTTCCATATGCTAAATTTGGCAATATTTGAAATTTGAATGTGCAATTTCAAACTATTGCACTGCTAAATGTGGGTTCACTTCTCCTTGACATCCAGTCATTCTTCAAATGTTCTCCAGTTAGAAAATTTATCATTCATCAAAATGCAAATTGATTTGTTCAATTCAAACAGAACACTTAAAAAGTATTTTTTCTTGTCTGTAAATTTCAATATTTGAAATTATTCAAATTGAGATATTAACGTTTAAAAGTTTTCTCCATTAAATTGAGATCACTTTTCAAAAGAACTTTTTTTTTTTTTTTTTTTTTCTCAAAAATTGATATCAAAATTTCTTTGTTCACTATTTGTGTAGTGTACACTCCTCCATGAATAAAATAAATATATCTTTGCAGCTACAAAATTTCATTATAGCCCAACTTAAATTCCTACAAATGCCAAAAATAAAAAATGACTAATCACTTTTCAATGATTGCCTGACAAAATATAAAAATGAATGGAATTAAATTTTAACTAAAGATTCAGTAAATAAATAGAATCACCCAAAAATCTATATATAAAATTCTGTGGCTTCCAGTAGTCTGTCCGACTGTTACATCCTCTAATATAGTTATACATTGACCGATCAACCAAATTTTGGGAAGAAGTACAAACAGGTAAGGGGGCAGAAAGTACGGTTGGTTTAACTAGGGTGCGTAGCTTAGTACAATAAATTTTCATTAATGTTTTGAGAAAAGTTAAGTTTTATTTAACATACAAAATACTCCCATTATTTTTTAAACAATTTAATGATTAAAGTAACAAATACTTGGTTAATAAAAATGCAATATTTTTTTTTTTTTTTTTTTTTTTGCATATCTTTTAAGTTTTTATATATACAAGAATCCAGTTTCCAGTTCTTCCTGAGCTTGAGAACTATAAACAAATCCCAAGGCCAAACACTTTGGCTCCAAAAAGAAATATTTCCACATGGCAAGAAATCCTATGAATTTATTCTTTGCTGTTAAAAAGGAAAAAAGAAATTTTCTTGAAAAGTGTTGTTTACCATGAAGTCAAAGTTAAATTAAAAAAAATTATTAAACTACGAAGTAGTGTTTTTGTCAAAGTATTTTCTAAATAAATCCACTTCATCAATTGGTTTACGAAATTGAACGAAATGTAGTTTGTAATTCCATTATTTTAAAAGAAAATCAGCCATGTTGAAGAAAATAATTTGATTTTTTTTTATATATATATATATATATATATATATATATATATATATATATATATATACACACATGTTCCTTTTTATTATTTATTTTCAAGTCCTACTGATTAAATTAAAATGGCAGAAAAGAAATTGCATGCTTAAATAAATGTTCTTAATTTAATAACAATCATCAAACCTTTATTGGGAATCATATTTAGTCATTAATTCATTAATGCTTTAAATTTTTTTTTTTTTTTTTTTTTTTAATGAAAAATGTCAGTTTTATTTTTTATCCTTTTAGGATTGGCGAGAATTGTGGGTTGATGATGCGTTTTGGCACTTGTTATTTTCGGTTCTCCTTTTGGTTATTATGATTCTGTGGAGACCTTCTGCAAATAATCAAAGGTTGGTAATTGTGTGCAGCACCAATTTTATTTTAACATTTGAGAAAACTTATGCAGTTTGATAAGTTTATCTCAATCATTTTAACACTAATGCCTTTTTTCTTTCTTTTTTAATCCATTATCATTGAATGGCAACCTGACTTTGCTCAACTTCATTGATCATGTAACATTGCTTATAAAATTCTTTTTCTTTGGTTGGTCAACAATGAAATATTGAAAATTATAGCAAGCAAATCTCTCAAGTAGGATTCTACATATTCTGTAGGGATTGAAAGAAACTTGACAATGTTTACTTGCTTAGCAAACTTTGTTCACCTGGCTCTGAAAGATCTTGCTTCTACGTGGAGAAGTAGGAAAGTTCAGAAAATGAACTCTCTCTCTCTCTCTCTCCCCTTCCTCTCTCCTCTTTTACTTGAAATTTATGGAATGGCATGGTAAAAGATGACTTCAAAAGGCGAAATTTGACTGACTTTTCTAAATGCCTTCAGAAGGATTAACTCTTGATATACTTTCCTCAGAGATGAGCTTCAGCATATTGCTGTGTGAAAAATGTTTTCAAAGCTAAAATATATTAAATCTGCTTGTAGGTCAGTGCTATAACAAGTTATTTGGGACATATAATAATGTTGTCAATTTTTTTCTTAAAAATGAACCAAACTCTTATGCCTCTTTTATTTACAAAGTTTTTTTTTTTTTTTTTTTTTTTTTTTGTTTAATTGAAAGTTCTTACATCTCTCTTCATATGCTTCTTTTTTGCTTATTGTACTCTAAAATCCCATAAAGTGATCAAAATGAGTAATTAGTTTTTCCTGACTTCAGAAAACTTGTTTGAATCTCTCTAGCCGTGTTTTTTTTTTTTTTTTTTTTTTTTAAAAGCCTTCAAAATCTTTTAGATATTTAAGTATCACAATATAAACCTGGATAAAATTTAAAACAACTGATAGTTTGAGTTTTAAAAACTCTTACATATGCATATGTGTATCTAACATTTTCTTTTTCTGTTATAATGGGTTTCACAATAAAATCTCTTTTGTGTCCACATATCTTCTAATATGAATGACTTTTTTTTTTCTTTTTTCTCCATTCCAGGTATGCATTTTCTCCACTACTTGATGCTGAAGAAGAAGAGGAGGAAGAAGACACTATTATGAATGATGCATTTGGTAAGTATAAGCATTGAAATTCAATAACATTTGAATTTTTTTTTAACTGTGTATTTTTCTGATTTCTAGATGGTTTCGTTATTAGTGAAGTACCTAAAAAAAAAAAAAAAAAAAAAAAAAATGTATTCTTAGAATTCACTGTAAGCAAGTAATTTTTATTATAAAAATTTCAACAAAGATTTCTAAACATTTTGCTTGTCTTCCTTTGAAGACAAACCAACCAAAATATCTGTATTATTATTGTTTCACAAAGATATAGGAGTGATATAAGTAACCTCTACCTCACCATATCTAGTCTTCTCATATTGCCATCTATAGTGTTTGCATTAAATGGAAAACAACCGGATAAGTTAACTCTTTAACCCATTACTTTGATTGTGGTATACAACATATAATCCAGTAAATATTTTAATGTTCAAATTGTTCTATGTGGTAGTGGGAAGAGATCAGTGTTGCATCAGTAATGATACAGGATGTGCCCTAAATGTTGTGTGTGTGTGTGTATATATATATATATATATATATATATATATATATATATAGTGAGTGCTGAAAAGTTCTTGGCTCAAACAAAAGCAGTGACTTTTTTTTTTTTTTTTTTTTTACCTAAATCATTCAAATATTTCCTTCTTTTGGGACTTTTTAAGATTTGAAACAGTGAACAAGATCTTAGGAACAGTGGCAACTGTCTGTGAACTCGCACCTTAAATTCTTCAAAATCTTCATCTTAACACAACTGCTGGTAGCAAGTGCATTATTCTGCACAAAGTTGTGATAGTAGTAGTAGTAGTAGTCAACATTAACATTTTCTCCACTGGTCTCAATGTTTGTGTCCTAAATGTGTGGATTCAGCCAACTCACTTGCGCACACACATACACATACACACTCTGTCAGTATGTTTGGTTAAATAATTTAGGTGTATTATGTCTATTTATATTAGTTTTAATCCTTTCAAGTTCACAAATTAATTTCTTGGTGGCTGTAGAAAATTAAGAAAAATTCTAATAATTTTTATTTTCTCAAAAACTTTCAATCTCCTCTGAGGCCATCTTCAAGGGTTTCATATTTATGGATGTATTAGCACCATAAATTCAAAACATTTTTCACTGCTATGCAAGAGAAGTAACTTATGTGTTTTTTAGATTTTTTAATTGTAGTCTTCTGATTTAGTATTTTTTTTTATGACACTTTGTTGCTACAGACATTTAAGAATTTTGTTGCTGTACTCATAGTTGACTTTATTTAATTTTGGCCACAATTCACTTATATAAAATAACGTACTGAATACCACGAAAAAAACTTCATTTACCTAAGATATATTAGATGACATTCTCATTTTAGTCAAAAACATAGACGAAATACATGAACTCCAAAAACCTTTGTACTTAATTTTCACATACAAGCTTAACGGCAATGAAATCTTGTTTCTAGACACCAATAATAATGCATTTACTACTTCTCCATATAAAAAAATCAACTAGCATAAACATGTGCACTCTCAACTATAAAAGTGAATGTCCTAACTATTATAAGATAGCTACTATATGAAACTTAATAAACCAGGCAAAGGCAAACTCTTCGACAAATATTTTCTATACTGAATTAAAAAATATTAAACAAAGTTTCATTAATAACGACTTTGCTAATTACATCATTGAACAAATTAGACAAGCTATTGGGAATGTTAACATAAATAAAAATGAACATAATACATCCTCAAATAACTCTAAATCTATCAAACTACTATCACTGTAATAAAATGCATTCTAACTATAATCAGGGGGACAAAATTCTAAAAAGACTCATAAACATTAATATATCCCCCAGTGATTCAATTAAAAAAATACTTAAACTATATACTCTACTAAATTTAATACAACCAACCTAGTCATCCATAACAACTCTTCTCTGTCAACTAGGGTCTTATAAAAGACTAACATCATATGTCAATTTAAATGTCCTTTGGGAGATTGCATCTCTGATAAAAATGTTAATACGCATGTTGGTTTTACAACAACAACAAAGCTTACATTTCACTTGAACGATCATAGTTCAATCTCGGAATATTTAAAGGAAAACTCATGTCCACATTCAGTTTAGACACATATTAATCAAAAATACATCAGTGCATCATCAGAATAATAATAAGCAAAAACTTAAAATTCTGGAAGCCTTTATATAAGAGTATTGTGGCTCAAAATAAAAAAAGTCAACTACGAGTATAGCAACAAAGTACTTAAATGTTTGTAGCAGCAAAGGGTTTTTATATATATATATATATATATATATATATATATATAATACTAAATTAAAATAAGTGACATAAATTACCTCTATTGGATAGTGGTGAAAAAATATCTTGAATTTACAGTGTTAACACATAACACGTCCATAAATATGCAACCTCTGAAGATGGTTTCAGATGAGATAAAAGTTTGGAATTTTTCTTAATTTTCTACAGCCACCAAGAAATTAATTTGTGGACTTGAAAGTATTAAAACTAAATAGATATAATACATCTAAATTTAACCGAACATGCTTCAAAATAAATATATATATATATATATATATATATATATATATATATAGCTTGATAGTTGTGAATTCAACCTTCTACTGATGCTCACATCTGCCTTTTTAATCGAATTCATCTCCTGAATGCATTTCATGTGTTCAGATCATAGGGTTTCTGCTGAGCTGTTTCTATTTTTATTCCCCACACCCACCACCTATACTTTCAAACTTCTGATTGCTTTCCTGCCTGTCACTGACGGTTTTACTTGTTTCTCATACATTTGATATTATTATTATTCTGTTTATATCTGCTGAATATTTTTTCTTTTTGTGCAGAGGCTTCTTCTACTGTCCACAATTTTTCTATATTTTTATGACACATTTTGCTAAATATGTCCTTTCTAGCTTAGATGCATTTAACATTTTCTTCACTGCAATCTCATCATTTTGATTAGGGTATGGATGTGAAGTGTAGTACTCAAACTCCCACACTAAGTTCTTTCATAATTTGTCAAACTTAACATCTTAGGAACCCTATGCCAAGTGAATTAGTCAATGACTTGTTGTATTAAGTAAAATGATAAAATAAAAAGTTGTTTTGTGTTGGCTTCTTTCCATTGTTATTTTTCTTACTTGGCTAGTCTTTGTCTTCTGAAGTTGTCAAAACCATCTCTTCTGCTAAATCAGTGGTTCCCAAACTCGTAACTAGGAGGCACGGTGGAATAATGGATAATGTCTCTGATTGAGGAATCGGAGAGCAGAGTTTGAATTCCAGTCGAATCCATTACATTCACTTACGTGCCAATACCCTTGGGAAAAATATCTTCTTCCCCCAGCTATGGATAAATAGTAGGGCAGACCAGGTTCTATAGCCTTGGATGGCAACTGGTCTACTGCAGAAAGAAATCTGCCTCATCAGTCTTGTATTGAAAGATACATGATCACCTAAGCGACTGACTTGTAATTGCATGCATGAATCTCAATATAAATAGTTATAAATAATTGACTGATTTTATCGTTGTGATATTTTTGCATTTTATCAAGTATTAAGAATATAGTAACTAGGCTCTGCAAATTGGAGGAGAGTTATCAATGGTAATGTTTTGACTTTGAATCCACAGTTATCTCCCTTTAACCTCTCTGTTTTTTATTTTTAAATGTATTTTTAATCACAAAACTTGTGGCATGAGCAAAAATGTAGACCAGAAGGGAAAAAGTTTGGGAACCACTGCCCTAAGTCCTGCATTTGAAGTGAAATGTCAAGTTCCTATTCACCTTAAAGATATCCAAGTAGGATTACTTGTGTAAACAAGAGCCTATCAAGTAAACCTCAATGAGCAATTTAAAGTGTTATGAAAAATTATTTTTTTCGATCATCATTGCTGATTTTTTCCCCCATGAAGCATAGAATTTGTTTGATCTCTGTTTAAATTGTCATAATTTGTTAAGTGCATTTCCTCCTTAGAAATCTATTTATATGAATGTATTTTTATAGATGGCATGAAAATGCGTGGTGCTAAGCCAGTTACTAATGGGTCCCCAAAGCAGAAGGAAGTGAAAAATAAAGCTGTAAGTTATTTTGCCTTCATACTGAGAATTGACAAAGATAGAAAAAGACAAACCTTTCAACAAAGCTTGCATGAAAGAGCACAACATAAATGCTATCAGTAAATTGCTCAAGTAATCTTTCCATACAATAATAAAATTTCTCTTAGCATCTCACAATCTCTTGTACAATTTTCACATATTCTGTTATTGGCCATCACACATTTTTTTTTTTTCTTCTCAATTCATTTACAATATATTATGTATTGTTTCCTTGAAGTGACAAGAAAGAAACTAGAAACTATCAAAATAGTGCTCTAACAGCTATTATGATGTCTCTTAAATATTAAAATTTTTACACACACACATATAATCCATCTCATGGATTGCCTAAGAACAATCAAACTGAAAATTAATATCACTGCATAGTGTGTGATTATTTTTTTGCTTTTATAAATTCATGGTTAAACTATTCAAAAACCTGGAAACAATTTGTTTTGAAAATAAAGAATTGGTCTTTTAACCTATTAATAAAACTTTTTCTTTTTTTCCTTTCTACAGGAAGATGACCTTAAATGGGTGGAAGATAATATCCCAACATCAGTTACAGATAAGTAAGTACACAAAATTAATTCTCATAATCTTTCTAACATATCCCTCAGCTATTTCCAACATTGAAAATGTATATGCAGAGATAGTATATCAGTTACTTAACTGTAAAGGCCTGTCTACTTACAAAATATAAAAGGTCCTATGACAATTTTTTTTCTTTTTCATAATTCCTTAAAAAACAAAACATACTTAAAGATGACTATTTTTATCAAAATTGGACTTCCAAAAGTTGTTCCTCAGTATCAGTGGGTGCTTATTTTACAATATAATAAAAAATAAAAAAAAAACTTAAAAACAAATAAGAATGACATGCCATCCATATTTAATTTTTCAGGTTTTGGAATGTTGACTTCCAGGAGAGTAAAGTTTTCTTTCAATTTTACAAAACTTCTCTTCACTACCTTTTTACATAAATATTGCTTGGTATTTTGATATTGACAGAAGTTTTTCTTATGTTTAATTTTCTCTTAAAAATTTCAGAGCATTGCCCAGTCTGCTGGATTCAGATGAAGAAATCATGACAACAAAGTTTGAAATCTCCAAGATGGAGTAGAGGTGAAAAGTATTCAAAGTTTTGGTTAGCTGATGGTTTGTGTGGCCACAATTCCATTGCCAGTCAAAAAAAAAAAAATTTTTTTTTTTTTTTTTTTTTTTTTTTGGTGAGCCTTCACAGTAAAATAAACAACAGAGCAAATACCTTCATCTTATAAACCTTTTTCACACTTCTGGGACCATCTATACTGTTTTGGTCAGCTGCTTCTCCCTTTCTTAAAGTGTATTTGCCATCATCACATACCTACCCCTCTAGCAGGAACAAGTTAACTGACCGTCCACCTTCATTTAAAATTTGATTTACCTGTTTTCTCATATATATATATATATATATATATATATGTGTGTGTGTCTGGCAAGGGATTTTGTTTTAAATTGTTAACTTTTAGTTGTTTTTGTTTCAGTCTGTTTACACATCCTCAAGAGGTTTGGTGGTCTGTTGTAACCTTTCTCACACACTACCATTCCACACAGACTTCTAGGCATGTGTCTTTTCAGTGCCTGATTTAAAATTGTCCTTAATCTGAGTTGGGTGCACAAGAGCTGAGAATTTCTTTCTCAATCTCTTTATGATGCATTACTATATAAGCAAATGTCCCAAATCACTCACACTATCACCAGGCAATGGCTGAAGAACTTTTTGTTATAGAAAAAAAAAATCTTAAAAGATAATCATATGGAGAGGGTTCTCATAAAATACAATTATTTTTGGCAAGGTGCCAAAATGCCTCTGAAGTTTTCATTTAATTATCTAAATTAAGATCTTTACAAAAAGCCTTTCTAATTTTCTCATAGCTAAAATATTCAAAGCTTTCATATTTTTGTTTTCCTGCCTTCCTTTATCAACTGATCAGTTCACCATAAAAAATAAAAACAAATCAAAGGTGGGGGTGTTGTTTTTATTTAGAATTCATTTTGTAGGTTAAGACAATTGTGAAAATTAACCTCAAATCTCATATCACTAATGATTGCACAATCTACAGATGGAAAAGTTGTGAAAATAAGATCCTGACCCTCCCACTCCCCAGGTCATTCATAATGGTCCATTTCTGAAATATAATTAATGGAATTCAATTTTCTTCTGTTTTCACAGTAAATATGGGCTTCAATTTTCAATTCTTTTTTTTTTTTTTTTTTTTTTCATATAAGGCCATTCACTACTTCAGCCAATTTGAAGCGATGTGGCAATCTTTATTGCTTGCTTTTGTATGAGATAAATTAAACAATGCAGGGAAGCTTATTTATAATATGGCATGGAGGAGAACCAACGTCACTGAAAAGTAAAGACCAAAGCCATTTCGAATGTCAAAGATCTCTTATTTAGAATCACTAAAACTAGAGTGATGTAGAAATGTGAAACATTCAAATGGATTTCTCTTGCTTTGTGTTTTTCTCTGCAACAATCTTTCAAAAGAAATTAAATATTTACAAAATACAGAAGATTGTACATACATTTTTTGAAAGTGTTTGCAGTGGGAATATTGTGGCCTGCAGTAATCTAAAACTTTTTCTTTTTTTTTTTCTGTCAATCTAATTCCACTTTATTAACTCTGCCTTTTTACATTTTTTTTTTCTTTCATCCAGAGTAAATAAAAGATGTGAAAATTCTGACATATTGTTTTTGTTTACCATTCTTCCTACTAAGATGTTTTTTTCAGTATTGGTTTTCTGATTAGCATCATAGATTCATAGGCATTTGAAAGGGAAACTCTAATCAGACAGAAGTAACTATTAATTTGTTTTTTCACTTAAAACAATTGGATAAAATCAACAAAGTAGAGAAAAGACGCTAACAATGTTGTCAACCTGACAGACCATTCTTACCATCTCACTATTATTGCCAGTTTAAATAACTTCGGACAAAAGTACAAATGAGTGTGGCTGATATGTATATTGCTAATACAATCAATATTTTCATGCATAAATGGAGACCTCAGGTGGTTTCTTTACTTAGAAGGCATAATTGATGCAAACATCCCTAGAGCAAGCAAGGAAACCAAGTAAATTACTTTCAGTCAAACCAGATACTGAATTGCATGCCTTTATTTATTTTTATATAATATATATATATATATATATATATAAAAGCCACCAAAACACAAGGGGTTACAGAGTGTGGAAGCATGGAGCCCGAAGGGAGTTCCACATGCGAGAGAAGAAACTGTTAGCAACCTTATGGTGATGGGAATGACTGGCGCTGAGCTTCCAGATCAGGACCAATAATATTGCAGATTCTTTAGATCTTACCAAAGAGCTCAAGGTAAATAGCAGAAGCAGTTGGCCATATGTGGCAGCAATATTCTAAGCATGGATGGATGATTTATAGATATGTAAGATAGATTCTGGAGAGAAAAAATTGTCTTGTGAACTGACTTAATTAGCCGCAAACAGAACCAATAAGAAAAAAAAAAATGCTGCTTTTGATGTCAATGGATGTCACTTTCACTTCTGCAGAATTCTGTTTGATGTTGTAGTGTAGCTCTTATTCAGGGGGAATCCAGACATGTTAGTAAATGTGTCTTCTCTTAATGCAGAAAGAGCAAAACTGTAAAGGAATTCAGAGTGGCATCTGAAACTTGTATCAGCTGATAACAAAAGTATTCATAGTTGTGATAGGAATAATCTTTATCAAAAACATTCTCTACCAAGAAATAGAACTCTAGATGAACCTTTCCAAAACACAAACAATGATCTGCTATTTGAATGAAAGCAATGATGTTACCTACCCTGAATCCATCACAAAATTTCAGGCTGTGGAATTAATAGATCCTAAAAACTTCAGTGTATAACAAACTTAGTATAGGAGAAAAGGAAATTGAACATGAAGAGGCTATGCCAGGCTTTTGTCTAACATTGCTGCTCAGCCACAACATTAGCCTAAGAACTCTAGTCCTGTTCTTAAATAGTCTCATCAGATTGATGGATTAAAAATAGTGTTGAGAGGAAAATCATGTAGGTCTTAGAGGATCATTTTTTGTTGAATCTCTAGACTAGTAATACAGAATCACAAATAATTGTACCAAATACAGAACCACAGTATATTATTTAAAAAGAATGGCATAATGAAGATGTTAACCTTTTGTTTGAAGTCATGTGGAAAGTTAAGCTCTCATCAATACTGGAAAGAGCGATAATTAGTGAAGTTGAGAAACCTATTTTCCTGAAAAACTATTTCAAGAGAAAGCATGACTCTCAGAATTTATAAAATCTAACTGTTCTGTCAAATGTTTCTTTATAAGAGCAACAGTTAATCACATGATTACCATACCACATGAATTCCATGCTATGACTAGAAGTAATCTGGGACAGCATGGTATATGATGGATATCATACACAATACCGTTTCAGTGACTACTGTTATCTTGAATGATGCTTGTAATCAGGCACCAATTTTTGTTTTTATTTCATGCAACAAAAACTGATTTTAAATGTTTGTTAAACAAGGGCGATAATTCATGTTAACTCTTTTTAGTTTGTCATTTGGAACTCGATAATGTAAGGCATTTTTATTTTGATTCTAGCAAAGATGTTTTTTGTTTAGACAAGTATTTAAGAACTTTGAATAAAGGAACTCGTTTCTTGATACCCTTCATATTTCTTTAGCATCTTTCTAAGTATGACAATTTTAATGTGCAGTCTAGAATTTGAATGGTAGAGAAGAATTATCAATGTAACTTACTGTCACATTTCTAGCACCAGTTTTCAAGGCATGGAGTATGAGTATAAATTTTCTGAAAAGTAAAGCCTGTTTCAGCAGTGCTTTCATAAAACTCTTTCAATATATTGAAACTGCCATGACAGACTTGCCATTATCACCATCATACAAATGTATAAATGTTCCCACATCAACAAAGCCCAGTCCAATGAAATGTGTCACAAGAAATTTTCCAGTTTGTCATATTTTTCTAAATACTGTTTGTTGATATATAAAATTATACAAAATTGTTGCTAATATATATATATATATATATCCAGTAGTGTGATTCAAGAATTTTAAGAATGTGTTCTCTCAACAACAGATTCCCTCATTTTTTCTGTAATCTATATTTTACTATATAGATATAATTTAGAAATAAAGCAAATTTGTCTTGCACTTATTAAAAAACATCAAGATCATTTTGAAAGGAAAAAAATAGTTAAAAAAAAGTGTTAAAATGTTATTCATGATCTTTCATTTTAAAATTTCCAAATAGCCACTTGAATGTCATCTTTAGCTTTTTCTGCTTCACCCTGTTGTCATCAGCACTGATATATTTTCTTTTTTCCTAAGCTATGTTTTAACGAAGAGTTGGCATCCTATAAATCTAAATGGAGATGAGATTCTTTTATCTGAGTATATAATATCCATTCTTGAAAAAAAATCTCTGCTTCAGAACTGATAGCAATCATATTGATTATAGTTTTCACTTCTTGGGCACTGAAGAATTACAAAATTTTTTCAGGACATTTTAATTTTACTGAAGTCATTCAGCTTTTCTTCTGCAGCTTCCCAGGAAAGAACTATTTCTTGAATATTCCAAGTATCTGGTTCTAGCACGTTCATAGAATTTGTATTAACCTTTATTTGATCACTTGAATTTACATACCCAACTGATTATGTGACTATGATTTGTAGACAATCTAAAATTAAGTTAGTTCCTTCAGGTGGCAGCTAGCAACGTGTTCACTGAGCTCATAAAATTCCAACAGATTCTTCACATAAACGTGCTGAATCCAACCACTGACCATATTCTTTTTGCAGTCCTCCAAGGCTAACAAATGATGTACTATTTTCATTTTTTCAAGGTTATCCAAAACAGCAATTATTGACTTACCAGACTTTTCTTACCCCCATATTGAGCAGTGTTCAATTTTAGTTAAAATGAAGTTTTATTTGAATTGCCTGAGTTTTGATATTTTCTCTTTAACATTATTTCCTGCTGGGATAGGCACCAGATTTTTTAATATGTTCATTTTGCTCAAGTATTATACATTCCCTGATTTTCTTTATATTCTAAAAAA